GTGGTTTTCCAAGGAAAACTTTTTTGCTCTGCCATCAGTCAGAAGGTAAATGTAAGTTCCTGTGGAATTATTACTTAGCTAAAAGGCTGTCTCTTTATTGGGCAATTTTGGCAGACATTGTTTATAATTTATTATCCCATCTTAGAATTGTAAATGCACTAGGAACTCTGCTTCCTATTCTGATGAAAAGTGGCTCTCTCTTAAAACAAAACAAAACAAAACAAAACAAAACAAAAAAACCAACAATAAAATGGATGTTATTGATTATACCACACCCCTACTCAGAGACCCAACTGCTTTTAATGTGGTTTGAATAAATCCTAACCCTCACCCTGGCACTCAGTGCTCCCTTGATATGGCCCAACTTTCTGTAGCAAGGGAGGATGTCAGTGCTCTTCCCATATCTCCATTTTCATGCATACATGGCTGCCCATTGCTTTCACTCCAACCAGCCAACACCTGCCAGTCTTTATAGGAGAGGAGCCCTCAAGCTTCTGGAGTGGGTTTGGTCTGTGGACATGTAAAGCTAGAACAACCTGGGTATTTAAGTCTCCTGGGGCAAGAAGAAACATAAAATTTTCACTCCTTTGCCTCCTATGGGGCCAGCTCTGAAATGATCAGTCTTGTTTTCAGATCTTCCCTGTGGGACTGAGCAAAAGTTACTCTTCATGAAACTTTGCCTGATACCACAACCTTGTGAGCCTCTTCACTTTCTGTTCTCACTTCACCACTACCCTTCCTAATAAAACATTAATATATGTTCATGTCTTAGGGTCTTCTGGAGAACCCAGAGTAGACACCATGTTTGCATCTTCCTTGCTGCCACCTCCCTATACACACACCTCTAATCATACCTGACTTCCCAGTAGTTGTTATACACATTCCACACAGTCCCCACTGTGTTTTACTACTTTCTTGACTTTGATTAACCTTCTTCCCACTTCATCTTCATCTGGTATCATCTCTCCTATCCTTATTTTGGGCCATCTCTTTATCCCAATCTGGATTATACTTTTTCTTCTCACAGTAGTTTATTTGAACTTAATTGTAGCAACTGTCATTGTTTGTGTAACATTGAGCTTGCTGTGTAATAGAAGCCTAGGAGAAGACTCCTAGCAATCAGTACCAATAGTAGGTCAATTAGTAAAGAAAGTCACATAACATACATATACAAACACACACACCCTAATTTCTTAAATGTTTATTTTAACTGAAATAAATGTGCATTTGTTTTCAAGTCTTCTAATATAGGGCCAATTCATTTTATTTGACTATGGTTTCAGTGATTAAAATTCTGTCATATCTTCCTGGCATAACTTCTACCCCTAATGCATCACCATCAACAGTTTCTAGTTTGAATTTCTCCACAGGGAAACAAGAATTTAATAATACTTTTAAAGTAAACAAAATATAAAATCTTTCTCAATAGTCATAATTTTTTCTAATATTTTATAGCTTCAAGCCCACATATAATGCAATAGCTAATTTATTTTAAAATCTTTAGTTTTTCTAAACTATTCAATATAATTTTTATTAAGTAGCAGCTATCATTTTGTACTCTTCAGTTTATATAATGTTAAATTACACAGTTAGAACCACAAAGATACCTACCTGGCATAAAGAGCTTGGGGGACTAATATAGCTGACTCTTCATGAGAATGCAGTTCAACTCATGGGAGCAGACATGTATGGTCTTTGTAGAGAGGAGCCTGCTTTTCAATGGGAATGGAGAGCATTGATTAAGCTGATAAATCAGTTAAATAAAGACAGAATAATAGAGCTCCTACTTCCTATATGTGTCCTGAATAGAGTGAAAATTTATTGAAAGGCAGGTCTGTCTGTTGGTGTTCCCACACCACTCGACAAAATGCCTTAAAAGAATTACTACAACAAGGCGTTCCACATGTGTTGGTTGAATTGAATTCTGCTACTTTTGTCTGAGCAGGAATTGGATGGTGGTATACAAGGAGAGCATGGTACCTTGAAATTTCCTTGCAAGAATAATAAAAATGCTCTCAAGCATTAGGTACATGCACAGGGCAAGATGACTTCTCCCTTTGACATTCTTTTGTATGTGATTATGATGCTACAAGACTTCATGTTTATTATTTCCTATTTCTAAAGATTTGAAGGTTGTATTTATATAAAGTTACCAGTATATATGTTAAAAAATGTTTTATTGATTTTTTTTTAGAAAGAGGAAGGGATAGAGAGATAGAAACATCGATGTGAGAGAAACATCGATCGGCTGCCTCCTGCATGCTCCCTGCTGGGGATCGATCCCACAACCTGGGCATGTGCCCTGACCAGAAATTGAACTGGAACCTCTCAGTCCATGGGACAATGCCCAATCCACTGAGCCACACCAGCCAGGCAATCACCAGTATATTTTAATTTAAGCTAAAAACAATGGAACATTAATAAATCCCAATAATACATGTTTTGCTCCCTACTAATACACTATAATTAGTATGTGACACCTGCACATATCACCTTTTCCTATCAACGTATTTTCCCACCCAAACATCTCTCCTGAATTGTATTCTAGGGTATAGTTGTATCACAGTTTGTTTAACCATTCACTCCTTGAGAGACATCTCAGTTGTTTCCAGAGTGGGGAAACTTGGCTCACCTAGGTGATTATCATTTAAAGTCTCTCATGTGGTTGTAGCCAGACGGGAGAGTAAGGCTGAAGTTATCTTAAGAGTTGACTAGTCTGGTTGTTCAAGTTGGCTGTCTCACATTTGATGTTGGCTGCCCTGATAATAGGTACACCTACATGTTGCTTGGGCCTCTATCATGGGTTCCCAGAGGGAACATCCAAAGAATATCGATTCCAGGGGAGAAAGGAGAAGATGTTAATCTTAAGACCCAGGCCCAGAAACTGGCACATTGTCACTTCTGCCATATTCTACCAGTCAAAGCAATCACATAGCCCATTTAGATCCAAAAAGAGAGGACAAAAACACTCCACTTTTTATTGGCTACAGTTTTAAAAATGTATTGAAACTTTCAATCTGCCATAATATCCATTTATGACATTCACATAAACTAAAATTTACTGAAACTTCAAAACAATATGAGAAGTCCTTTTACAAGGCACTTGCTCTAAAATAATCAGATTAAATATTAGATGGAGAGTCTGTTTCACCATCTAATCTCTTTGTCCCTGGTAAGATATTTGAATAAAATACTTAAATGATTTCCCACACTTACTAATAAGTTTTACCACCTCCAAGAGGAAAGATGGTCAGTCAAGGATTCCTTTTGATCTTTTTTTTTTATCTTTTTGCTGAGGCTTGAACAGCTTCTAGTTTTGCTATGACTTTTTAGGTTTCTGAATTATTTTAGTCTTTTCTCTTTCAGCAGACAGCAGTTCTTAACCCTTGACTCAGTACTCAGGAGTCAGGTTCCTGAAGAAAGATCTTTAGAAAGTGCATTACTTTTCTTACCCTAATTATGAAAAGTTAAAATTCAGTTGACTCAAGTGGGTAGCCTACAGAACAGAGGCTCTGGATTCACATTTAATATTTTTAATTTAAACTTTTTATTTGGGGATGATTTTAGATCAACATGAAGTTATAATTAATAAAATAATACAGAGAGATCCTATAGAGCCATTCCCCAGTTTCCTCCTATATCACAGTCAAGATACTGACATTGATATAATCTACAAATTTTATTCAGATTTCCTCAGTTTTCATTTGTGTGTGTGTTTATTTCTGTGCAATGTTATCACATATGTAGCTTTGTGTATCCAACACAACCAAGTTACAGAACAGTTCCATCATCAAAAAATCTATCATGTTCTTTTATAACCACACCCACTTCCCTCCTGCCACCCCCATTCATAACATCTAGCAACTACTAATTTGTTCTCCATACGTATTATTTTGTCATGTTAAGAATGTCTTGTAAATGGAATTGTATAGTATGTATCATTTTGAGACTGCCTTTTTTTTTTTAACTTAGCATAATTTTTTAGAGATCCAAGTTGTTGAGTGTATCAGTAGTCATTCCTTTTTACTGCTGAGTAGTATTCTATGGTATAGATATATCACAGTTTGTTGAATCATTCACTCCTTGAAGAACATCTAGGTTGTTTCCAGTGTATTACTATTACAAATAAAGTATAGGTCTTTATGTGCACATAATCTTTTAGTTCTTGAGGATAAATGCCATAGACTACAATTGCTAGGTTGTATGGCAGTTATATATTTAGTCTTTTAAGAAACTGCCAAACTGTTTTGAAGGCTACACCATTTTACATTTCCATCAGCAATGTTTGAGTGAATCGGTTTTTGCACATTGAGTTTTTAAAAATTTATCTTTATTGTTGAAAGTATTACAGATTACAGATGTCCCTCCTTTTTTCCCCCCTTGTCACCCTCCTCCCCACTCCCCCACCTTCACCACATTATTGTCTGTGTCTATTTGTTATGCATATATGCACAATAAGTTCTTTGGTTTATCTCTTCCCACCCTTCCTTCCACATTGGATTTTAATGATGTGAATTATAATTGGTGGCTGGCAGTCCAATGTGAATCAAGCATTACTGCCTACTTTCGTCTTCTTAGTCACTTAGGAAAGCCTTGAGACATCAAGGACAGACAGGAAGAAGTACCTTATGGGGTTATTTTCAGTGGCATCTTTATACCTGCCTCATACTGCAAACTATATGTATGTTCAGTGACAGCCCAGTAGTCCTCAATGCATCACAGGCATGTAGTATCTATTGACTGACCAAATATGTGCTACACATCTCCTCTCAAATTCTTTTAAATTTAATGTTAAAAGTTATATGTAAATGCTTTCATAGGGTTTCCATCCTCTCTTTTTTCATACCTAAGACATCTCTTGAACCAATAAGTGCTAACATAGTTGAATGGGAATGGATTGTAACATTTAAGCCACCAAGTAAATGTTGTACAAACATGGGCTACAAAATAACAAAACAAGCATTCTCACTTTTTCTTTTCACATGTCTCCCCTTGGCCAGGTGGAATTATCTGCTGACATTGGCCTTCAATACAAAGGAGAGCTGACAGTTGTTTTACGTTACATTCCTCCAGATGAGAACCTGATGCTCCCACCAGGACAATATCAAGGTAAAATAAAAATCAGTGCCTTTATCAAGAACATTCTGTTCTGGAAGTGTGAGAATAGGGATCAGTGATTGTTTGGACTGTGTTACTTTTGCATTTCACATATGAAATATAAAGAGTTAGGTGTCACTGGCTTTTGAGGAGTGTTGAGAAGTATATACTATATATGGAGAACAGTGTTGGATTCTAAGTTTATACTGAGAAACCAGCCTTAATGGTAACACTTGTTTCTTGGAAGTCCCAGAGACATAGGATCTTCTCTAGGTTTGGGGGGTGGTTCTGCAGAGAGGGGTGGTAAGATAGCTGTCTTATGGATTTATGACATTCACACCTACTCAGCAAATCTTGAGGAAGAAGTTGATCTAGAACACAGAATGTAGAGGAAAAATCTAGATGGAGTCAACTTTTAAATTCTTCTTGCCCCATCAACTCCTATAGGTAGTTTCTTCTATCCTTCCATTCACTATCACCTTCTTCATTGTGACCCTGTGTAAGTAACTTACTCTCAGCCTCAGTTTCCTTACTTCATAGGGATATTGCAAAGATTAAATAGGTTCATTTATGAAACTGCTTAAAACTGTACTAAATAAAGGTGGTGGTGGTGCTTATTATTCATATTGAGCACATTTCATTATAATAAAAATGTGATGTAGGAACAGTTTTCTCTCACTCAAAAATGTAATTGTGCCTGGGCTATAGCCTTTATAAAGAGGTGGCCCTGCCCTGGCCAGTTTGGCTCAGCAGTTAGAGCATTGGCCTGCGGTCCAGAGAGACCTGGGTTCAGTTCCCGCTAAGGGCATATACCTTGGTTGCAGTTTGTCCCCAGCCCTGGGTGGGTCATGCAGGTGGCAGCCACTCCATGTGTCCCTTTCACATCAATGTTTCTCTCTCTCTCCCTCTCTTTCCCTCCCATTCTTTCTGAACAAAACATGGAAAAATTTTCTCGGGTGAGAATTTAAAAAAAAAAAAGAGCTGGCCCTGCATGGAGATAGCAATTTATAAGACTAAAATTTCAAACAAGGGAGTTATGAAATTTTCTCTTTAGGAGTCTTGGTGCATGTGTGTGGCTTTCATTGTAGTTGTTTTCCAATGAGAGCAGGAATGTGGTGCAAGCAACTCCCAGGATATTTTGCATTTTATTCCTTTTTTAGTAGAATCTAATGTGTTTTATTCTTTTATGCCCTGTGAAAATATATATTTTGTAGAACAGTACTTAAAGTTTTAAATTAATTTTTTCCCAATAAGAAAGACCTATCAAAAAGGAATCCAATGGCATAAAAACATTTAAATTAATACATGGAAAATATACAATAAAATTAAGACCTGATTCAATTAGCAAATGAAATAAATCTTAGAGATTTTTTTTTTTTTTGGTAATTTTTTAAATGGAACTCATGATCTATCTCCTCCTTCCCTCCCCCTCCTCCTTCTCTTCTTCTTCTTCTTCTTCTTCTTCTTCTTCTTCTTCTTCTTCTTCTTCTTCTCTCTCTCTCTCTCTCTCTCTCTCTCTCTCTCTCTCTCTCTCTCCCCCTCCCACCCCATTCTCCTTCTCTCTCTCTCCCTCCTTTCTCCCTCTCTTTCATTTTGATGGCTCATGCAGGAAAGAAGACTTTTAAAAGGGGAAAGAAGGAGTCACCTGTACTCTCTGGAGGAATACTAGAAGTGTTCATCAAAGAGGCAAAGAATTTGACAGCAGTGAAGTCAGGAGGCACTTCTGATAGCTTTGTAAAGGGGTAAATTTGTTTTAATATTACATGATACTTAATTGGAGATAAAATAGTCTGTGATCCATGAGACAGTGGTGGCTGTGAGGCTTCTATATTCTTCTTAATTGAAATGTACTAGAAAAGAGCTACTCTTGAATGCTTGCTCTGCCATCTAAAACACTATGAATATAGAGGGGAATTGCTTTTACTAGTTTTCAGCCTGCTTCCCACATATTTCAGGATTTTCTGTCACTCTCACCTTCATGACTGGTAAATTTTTCTGTGAAATTTAGTTTTTGAGGGAGGAGAAAGTATGACTTTCTATGTTTAATATAATTTTATTGTGATTTGTTATCATTTGGTGCTGGCAATATGCAACAACAACAATATTGGATACTTGGGATTTTGGTCTCTTAGAGGAAATAGTAAAATGCAGATTTGTCAGAGCATCCTCTGAGAGATACCCACTGGAGAATGCTTTGGAGAAGGTCTGTGACTGCCTGTTGGGAATTTGTACCCACTTTATGGAGCACAGGGCAGTTTCTTGAGAGAATACAAGCCCTTTAAATGGACATTCTTGCCCATTCTAGGCAACCCAAACAATAAATATCTCTTGATTTCTATTTGAGATTTTCTCCCATGACTAGAGGAACTAGAATCAGAAGACTGTTTCTCATTCATCCAAACAAACACCTATTCATACATGAACCAACCATTAAGTATGTACTACAGTTTCATAAATAAGAGATGGTCCTTGCTCTCATGGAGTGACATAAAACGCATGAGGCCAAACAGATTCCCATGAGGTTTATTCTTTGAGTCAGATGGCAGTATTGTTCCTCTTCTTAATCCTTCTTTGAGAAATATAATTTTCCCCACAAGGAAATGAGTCAAGGCTTTACCCTCACACGATCTATCTTTGATAAGGACAATAATAAACAGAAGCAGCTATGTGATGCTTCCCCACTGGTAAGTGGGTGTGCCTGAATTGTGGTCCATTTATTCTACATGCTTTCTCATATTAGTGAGATACTTTATATGGATCTTATCATTGTAATGTGCCTCACCAGCTCCACCATCCGGTGCAGGCCTTTTGCTCATTACTGTCTGGTGGGATGAGGGAATGGCTCCCTGCCTATGCCTCATTATGGCCTTGCAGGGGCCTATAACTGTTTTCACTTTATTACGTTGAACATTTATGAAACAGAGATAACAAAGGACAGTATCCTTGTTCTGTTTTGTTTTTTTAAATCCAGTAAATTTCTAGTAAATTTTCTCTCTAGTTACCCTTCAACATTGAGATGATTTTAAAGGGACCTCAGATTTTTTTTAAGAGCAGGAGAGAGCAAGAATAGACCTTTCTTTAAAATTTAATATTATAAAATATATTAGATAATATTAGCTCTGTCTGTGAGCCAGCATAACAATGGCTTAAATAATACAAAAGTGTTTGTTTGTTTTTCTTGCATGTAAACAAAGACTAAAGGCAAGGTATCTAGGACAGGTGTGGAAGTATCATGATAATCAGGGACCTAGGTTTCTTCTATGTTGTTTTGGTGTCTACCTCATGATACAAGACAGCCAATTTCTATCTGGCAAGACACTCCCCAGAAGTTTCATACAAAATTACTTCTTATATTCTATTGGCCAGAACTTAGTCACATGACCATACTAGCTGTAAGGCAGGCTGGGAAATTTAGTGTTTACTCTGGGCAATCTTATCCTAACTAAAAATAAATAAAGATTTTTAAAGAGAAGAATAAGAAAAGGATGAATATTGGAAGATAAGTAGTCTCTACTTAGTACATGAAATAAAATCTCAAGTAGAGCAATGTATCTTCTTTATTGTATGGTCAATTGTTTTCTGGCATTTTTTTAATGTTTGTTTGATATACTAATTCTATACCCATGTCTTCTTCCTTAAAGCCTTCTCCCTGGTTCATCAGGTACCTGGACCCCAATTCTCTACTGTGGTCAAAAAACAGTGTTTTCACCATAGTAGAGAAGGCCTAGAGTACAGGGTTTTTTTTTGAGAAAAGATTCCAGGAAGCACCAGTGAAAGAATGAGAAAATGACAGGGAAAGAGAGGGAGGGAACCTTGTAAAAATATGTTAGTAGGCAGTTTACTAACTGTGGGCAATTGGGGCTCAATTCCACTGGGGAAAACAACAAGGAACTCTAGAATGTATCTTAAGATTATCCCTTCGAGAGACAGGGAAGCTGCGGGACTCACCCACCAATTTCCAAAATTCACTGGTGGAATGTTGCTCCCAGAAACATTAAATCCCTAATAATCCCAGGACTCTCTGCACACAAGCTGATTCAGCTCATACTGTACCAGATAAAGTCCATAACTGTGAAAGCCAAGAGACACAGGCTCCTGAGATGGGTACTGCCCCGCCTGGCTTCAAGTCAGCTTAGAGGTTGGCCAAATATGATAGTAAAGACATTAAACAGTGTCTACTACAGGAGGTATTTTCATTTCAAGATGAGGAAAGGCCTAATTGGATTAAAAGAGAGCATGTTGGCGTTTTACTAATGCCCCACTTAAAATAAATAATAAACCACCTCACTAAATAAATCCAAATTTAAGCATATAAGAACCTGGGAGAGAAAATCCAACATACATATCACACACACACACACACACACACACACACACACAAACCAGGAATTATAGGAATTTGAAATGACTATTCAAGGATGCCATTTTCTACCTATTGTCTCACTGATAGTTTGCATTTTCTCCCGCAGCTACCTGCTCCCTGATGATAGCAAAGCCACCAAGCATAAAACTCTGGTAATAAAAAAGAGTGTTAACCCTCAGTGGAATCATACTTTCACGTTCAGTGGCCTGCATCCCCAGGATATAAAGAATGTTTGCCTAGAACTTACCATCTGGGACAAGGAGGCCTTATCCAGCAACATCTTTCTGGGAGGAGTTCGTTTGAATTCTGGAAGTGGTGAGTGACTCAGGGACCCTGAGATGGTCTGTGACTATGCATGGGGCTGGGGAACGGTTACTGAAGGTGTAATATGTCATAGGTATATATGTAGTTTTAACTTATTTGACTCCTGAAATTTCACAAGATGTTCCATGCCTTTAACCAAGGATCTGTTCATTTTAAAAATAAATATACTACTACATAATTTTGTATCCTTCAACTAGAAGTTTGGGATGTATAATTTTTATTTTTATTCTTTCCACAAAATATATTTTGCACTTTAGTCTAAGTAAATTTTAACTTCCTCTTGGGCCTTACTTCAGGTTTTGCTCAAGAGAGGATGACCAGACAACATAGTCTTCTGATAGGGGAGAGAAGAACTTCTGAGACCAGCTTTACTTCATCCTCTTCTCATTTCTGTCCAGAATTTGTAGCCATTACTCTAGTTGAAAGGACATAATTTTTTCCCTAAGATAATAACATCTAATGTTTTTTCAAACGGGCATGAAAACACATCACTGGTGCCATAAGACACAACTATAACAGGGAAAATTAGGAGAGAAATTATAGTAATGGAGCACATGCAGACCCCAAACTCTCCTTATCTCATAGCTTAGGCCAGACATAGATGTTCTACATGTATCATGATCAACATTCCTGTTGAGGATGACCTCACCCCTATGATGCTCTACTTATTTATAGATTAAGGAAAGCCAAGAATATCTACACCACTAAAATGAAAACTTCCCAGGTAAGAAAACTGGCCTTGTTAGAAAGGAAGAGCCACAGAGCCCAGTTCAGCCTTTTATTCTGTCATGTTAACTTAGTCCATATGAACCAGCTCTCTGCTAAACTACTACAATGGGGGAACAAAAGAGATATTATGGCCATCCTGATTGTTTCTCATCATCTAGGCAGAAGAGTGTAGTGCAGCCTGCAAAAGATTATTTTATTCTAACATCACTCAATAGATATGGTAAGTGAGAACAAGCCAGTGAAGGGCTCTGTGGTCAAAAGGCCCCCTCAGAGGTTAACAGGTGTCTTCCAGAAGACCAAAACATTTCATCTGTGAAGAGTAATATTCCTCTTTCCCTTCTTTAGGTGTGAGCCATGGGAAGACTGTGGATTGGATGGACTCTCAGGGAGAAGAGCAACGCCTTTGGCAGAAGATGGCTGACAATCCTGGGACTTCCGTAGAGGGTATACTCATGCTTCGTTCCAGCATGGGGAAGCGTCGGCTCTGAAACTACCATTTTCCAAAATGAGTCCTCCTGGGACTTTTTCGCTGCCATTTTCTACCAGCAGCAGGCTTGAGCCCTGAGATTCCTTTTCCCTGGCATTTCTCACTTGAGGGCATTAGGACATGAGGGGAGAGATATCAGTGTGATGAACATTTAGGGTCTTGCTGAGAGTCTAAAAAAGCATGTACCTCTATATATCCAGTGTCCAGGGCCTTCAGGATTAATGATAGAAAGTGTATCACATTGTTCTGTCAACAAGAAAATTGTACAATGATTCAAAGGCTTTATACTATAAGCTTACTTGACACTACAGTAGAGATTGTGAATCCCAAACATTTTCTAGTTATTAGTTACTTTAAGTTTCCTAAAATAGTTTGAGGAAAAATGGGGCCACTCAGAATGTAGATCACTTGAAGAGTAAGAAGAAGGGATACTGGGTACCCTTTTCTCACCCTGGGAATCCCCATGATCTAAAGAAGGCATATGGAGATGGTTGCTGGGACCAGAGGGTGGCCGTGTTATTTTAGCAATCTTGTGGCTTACCCAAGTAAGTTTTCAAGTTTTTCTGTGGTGACTATATCATTTATTATTTAAATCAGCCCACTTTTAGCCCTGGCCAGTTTGGCTCAGCGGTTGAGTGTCGGCCTGCAGACCAGAGGGTCTTAGGTTCGGTTCCCGCTAGGGGCAAGAACCACAAAATACATACATACATACATACATACATACATACATACATACATAAGCCCACTTTTGATAGTGAAGGGAGCTAAATCACTACACCAGAACAACAGGATTGACCTGGGAAAATTGGGATGTAGGATCATCCTAGTTATGACCTAGCTATTAGAGAGCTCTGTTGTTAACATGTATTTTATAAAATGTTCTAATCCATTAACTGAAAGGTAAAAAGAAACAATGCACATTTTGAGCCTTGCTTGCATTATGTCTATTGATATTCCATTGGTCAAAGGAAGTCGCATGGCCCAACCAAAAATCAAGAAGCAGGGAAATACATTCTGCTCATAATGAAATCATGACAAGAGTGAGGATATGGGAAGGAATGAATATAAAATTATGGCCAATAGTTAAATCTGTCATACTTTCTGTCACCTGGAATTCCAGATGCTTAAGCCACCAAACTTAGATGCAAAGGTTGTAAAAGCTGAACCTTGCCTCAGATGTGGTTTCTCATTTTGCAGATTCCAAATCTGAACCCAGAGAGCTGAAATGACTTTCCAAGGATCCACAGAAGCTGTGACTGTATTCAGATTTAAATCCACTGTGTGACTCCTAGGCCTATGTTCTTTCTACTAAAGTCTTTGGCATGACTCTATACTTATATGGTGGACAGGAGCACATAGATGAAGGAAAACGGAGCAGAGTTTGATTATTTGACTGTGAACATACCTGGCCTAGTCTTTTTCTGGAGTCATATTTTATCCCCTCAGCTCATTTTTTCATTTGAATTCATATACAATCTTTAAAAGGATAGAAACTGAATTTTAGTACTAGGAAAACTAGAATCATCTTCAAGTTTATTCTAGCTTATTTTCCATACTCTAAAATTTTCCTTGAATTTTGGAAACAGATTTATGAATATATTTAGCATTATTCTTAGTAAGAGAATAAGGAATCCATTTTTAATATTATTCAAAATAGACTAATTCTAGAAAATTGAAGTTAGTAGTCTAGTATAGCTTAGTACATATGGTACATTTTTAAAACAACTCACATTCATATCCCTATGTTACTTTTCTTAAAAATAGAAACAAAATATGTAAGATCATCACTACTTTTTATATTGGAAAAATCAATTGTCATCAGACTTGATATGATTCATTCTGTCTTCAATAACATTTCTAGGGAAGGTGAGAAGATAGTAATGGTAAAGTCCGGAGACATCTCTAAAGTAGAAAAATAAAGTGGATTTATACACTAATAATGGAAGTGTCAAAGTAATAAAGTCCACAGTTTATAACTTGAACTCAAGACAAACATGAACATTGTGTTCAGATATTTGCCACATTTAGAGAAATTCTCTGTATCATGATTTTGTAAAAACCAACCTCTAACTGGGTATTTCCATGGTGCAAAACCCACCTATACAGAAGTCTTGCAGAAATCTGTTGGTGTTGCTCTCAGAAAATAAAAGGTAAATTAATCTTTAAGTCGCTATTTGGTGTAGAAGTACAAAGAACATTTTTTAAATATTAGTAATACATGCAAATGATACAAAATTCAAATAGTTCAAAATTGTGAAAAGTAAGTCTTCCTTCCCTTGCATATCAGAATATATCGACAGCTTCATTTTTTTTTATGGCTGCAGGGTATTACATTATAGGGACATATCAAGTTTATTTAGTCAGTCTTATCAAATGCCATATGAAATATGGTTAACTAAGTTGTCTATGTTTGGTGGCTTTTCTATCTAAGCAGTCTTTTTTTGTTTGTCAAAAATAAATACTTTGAGATTCAAAATGGTGCGTGCGTGTGTGTGTGTGTGTGTGTGTGTGTGTAAAATGTAGCAATTTCACTCTGGGGTAGTTATCCTACAGAGATAGATACATATGTGAGAAATGAGTACACAGAGGGCATTCATTGCGAAAGATTGGAAGCGACTACAAAGCCCATCAATAGAGGCCTTCCGTCATATATGTGCCAAATGTTTCTGTTTCATTAGTTGCTCCCTCTCCTTCTGTCTTAAAGATTGTTAAATGTTAAATATTGGTTTCTTTGCTGCTTGTCCTTTCTTCCTCACTTTCTATACCCTCTGAGGCATTATCATGTACTGTGTTTTCATGGTTTGATGACCATTTATATGTTCATGACTTCAAACTCACATCTCAAACCCAGACCCTTTCTTTCAGACCTGGACCCATACCCAACTGCCTATATGACATCTCTACCATAATAACTCATGTTTTCAACATATTCAAAACTGAACTCTTCACTCTACCTTCTCTCTTGTACCCATGTCTTTCTCCACCAGTATATCCTGACTCAGTACCTGGTACCATCATCCACTCAGTTACACTAACTTGGTACTGGGTAATAATCTTTGATTTATGCTTCTCCCTTGCCTTGAGGCAAACTTAATCAGGAAATCATATTGACTCTACCTCCTAAATATCTCAAAACCTTGTCCAATTCTTGCCATCTCCATGCCATCACCCTAATCCAAGCCACCATCACCCCTTTCTATGGTTATTACAAGTCTCCTGGCTGCTATCTATGCAGCTACTCTTGTTCTCCATCAATCCATTCTTCATACTGTGTCAGATTTTCCCAACATGTTATTTTTAAATGTTTAAACATACAGAAAAGTTAAAATGATTTGACAGTAAACATTCTTATACCTACCACTTAAATTCAACTTCTCCCATTAGTTGTATGTGCTTATCTATCTGTCCATTTCCTGAGTGTTCTATTTTTAAAAAATGCAAATTGGATCATGCTTAAAAAACCCTCTGTGGCTTTTCATTGCCCTCAGAATAAAGTCCAAATTCTTGCTCACGGCCTGCCAGACCCTGCATATAATGGTTGCTGCCTTCTCTCCACTTGTCCCAAGCCACACCTCCCCTCCTCTTCCCTTTAGTCACACAGTGCACTTTTCTGCTTCTCAAATGTGTCAGGCTCTATCATCTCATGACCTTTGCAAGGAATCTTCTTGCTCCTTCTCTCATCAGTCTGATTCCCATTAATCATCCAGGTTTAACTGTTACCTGCTCAGGGAGAGTGCCCCTCATCATCCTCTACCTGACTAGGTCACAACAGCCTGCCTCTATTTCACAGTTATAATAAATTATTCATGTAGTGAACCATTCAATGCCTCTGTTTGTTCCCTTGCCACCACACATCCCTAGAATAAGGACAGAGGCAGTATTTACGTTTATTAACAGCTATATTCCCTGTGCTTAGTTCATGGTGTAGTGAGTAACTGAAAATTTATTGATGGAATAAGTAAAAACAAACAGAAAAAAACTAACATCATAAAATGTTAGACCAGTAGGCATCTTTAGAGAGAGAGAGATATCACTGTTTCTAACTTCCAACTAACAGATAAGTGAAGCCTACACAGATCAAGAAACATCTCTGAATATGTTTACTGATTAGTATTTTATTTATATATTTTTTAATCCTCACCTGAGAATATTTTTTCATTCATTTTCAGACAGAGTGGGAAGGAGAGAGAGAGAGAGAGAGAGAGAGAGAGAGAGAGAGAGAGAAATATCAATGTGAAAGAGACGCATTGACTGGTGCCTCCCGCACGACCCTGACCAGGGCCGAGGACCAAACTGCAATGGAGGTGCGTGCCCTTGACCGGAATCAAACCCGAAACTCTTTGGTCCTCGGGCCAATGCTCCAACCACTGGGCCAAACCAGCCAGGACCTGATTGGTCTTTTAAAAGAAAGCTTTCTGTAAGCACTGTATTTACAACCCTAGACACTTCATTCCTGTGTTGGCATACATAAAACCACTGAGTGTGCTCTTCAGCCCAGCATATCTGCTTCTCAGAAGAGACCACAGCCTTGCCTGGAGCATCCTCCTCCTTGTTTAGAGATCTCAGTCCTCAATTTTGCCTCAGTTGAATCAAACAAAGTGTAATGGGACATGGACAAGCTTAAAAGCCTGACTTGATCAATTCATTGTGTAAATAGTACCTGTAGGACATGTGGAAGATTCAGTCTATAAGTTCTCATTTTACTTATGTTGTTACTGTCCCTGGAGTTATCAGAATGTTTCCAGGTCACAAAAACAAAGATATTTTGATGGGACCTCATATTTTCGGCCTTCTTTTCCTTAAGAAATGTACACAAATATATGACCAATGATCATTAAGTTCTTAAGTAACTAGCAGATAAATTGAACCCACCTGATTCACAGTGATATAAATAAACCCCATTATCACCTGCTTCCTCGAGGTTTATATCTGCTGGGGAAGGAGAAAGCAGTGGAAGAAATAACAGGAAATCCCACTTTTACAAGCAAAGTGTATTGAAAT